AGTGGGGTCCCAAAACATCAAGGTGGGGTCTTGAAAAGATTTTCAGAAATAATTATATTCAAAAAAGACTACTTGCAACATTTTTTTGTCTTAGTTGTTAAAAAGATTCTGGTTAGTACGCGTGTATTGTTACTATGCCCTTGCTTATTTGACTTTGTATCAACATTTATTATGCAAAAGTAGTTGGGGGCACAGACCTCTGCTACTGTTATTGTGTGGGTCAAAAGCTAAAATGTTTGGGAATCATTGGACTATATAAACAAACTGAATTGAATTAAACAGATATAGCAGAAATAGATTTTTTTAATGCGGAATTGAGCTTGTAAATGAGTTTGTGTAGAGTATATTTCATGTGGATAAGCAGATCTTTACTCAACTTCTATGAATAAGCAATCAGTCTGTTTGCATCTTTCAGGATTCACTAACAAGAAATTCCAATAGAAAACGAAACTTGGAGAGGAAATGGTATGTTTCTTTCTTTTCTTTTATTTTTTTAATAGGTATCCATGGGCAAGGACGAAACATCAGAGCTTGATAAAAATCTTTACAAGCATTACTCCCCCCCCCAYCCCACCCCCAGTTGTAGACAGATATCTGGAGATGCACAGATCAGAGACGACAATATTTTACCTTGGACACATGGACAAGAAGTGACCCTTAGCTGAACTCCAGCAGAGTCACAAACATGTTCATTCTGATTTAGATGCTCTTCCACCTACCCACCCCTCAACCCCCCAGCGTCCCTCTGGCAAAAACCAGGGAGGAAAAACAATGGGACAGTCAAATGTATCCTAATTCCAGCCAGGGACACTAATTCAGTTCAGAAACAGCAAGGAAATGGGCTTGTGAGAGCAGACCCCGGCAAATACACGGCGGATAAAAACGATTATCCTGCAGATGAGCGGAAAGATGAAAACTAATTTAATAATAAGACCAGAAAATTCTCYGAGATAACGGGGATCTAGAGACCGATCCGAGACCCATCTGGCTTGCACTGCAYGTGTTGGAGCCATTTTCTGCAGCAGAAGTTGTCCATTTATGCAATGGTGCTAAAAGCTGAGGAGCTGTATTACTTGCACCGCTCTTACACCTTACAGTGAACTTTAACAGCTGTGTTTTATTTTAAGGAGAATGTTTTTAGCTTTTTACACTTTTCACAAAACTGTTTTGAAGTGTTTTAATGTTGTTGTTTTTTTTCACTATAGTGTTGGTTTATACTTTTGGTACATATCCATTCAAGTGAAATCTTTCATCTTGTTTTCTTTTTCAGATGATGTACTTGACACCTAACAATACAAATTAATTAAACCTGTTTATAGTAACTACAGGAGGCCCGCACAGACATATTTACATAGAGATGAATGTGGTTTTTTTTACATTTTAAAGCAACATTCTTTTCTTTTTAACATTTTAGAAAGGCTTAAAATGTAATTACACAGATAATGTGCTAAGTACACGTGTCAGAGTCAAACTTAAAACTTTTTTCCATTTTATCTTATTTACCTGTGTCTTTTGAGAATCTATTGGAGATAGGAATGTAGGAGAATATGCCAATTTATATTTTTCACACAGAACAGCATATTTGAATAGATTTCTTGTAAAATCTGGAACAAATTTTGCCAGGACCTTGCATTTAATTAACACATAATTCCCCTGGTGCTCTGGAATTATAAAAACTAAATTATAAAAACTAAATTGGTTCTTGATTAGTTTAACAAGCCACTACTCTATGACCTTTTTACAAGAGAATTTGTACACAACTTTCTGAACATGGTAAAAAAAATTCCCACGAAGAGAGGAAACACCTGTAACTCATGCAAGAAAGAAAAGAATCCCTAAAGTGARACAGTTTGGAAACGCATTTGCAAAWGCTATTAATTTGTTACCAACAGTTTTAGCCTAAAATACTATCTGTATTTTAATGTCTGCTCACCAATACTGGACAGCTACAAGCCTTTTGCACAGTGTTAGCGGTCAGAGTTGATGTCATGGATAACACTGTGAAACAACAGCTAAGAGCAGGACCATTACACCCCAGCAGACTAAGTTAGGAGGTTTGAATCTGGACACCAGAAAGTTCCCTATAGATGATTGAGCTGAGATAAATAATATTTGTTATGTTATCTGCAGTGGCTTTAATGTTTTGGCTGTAAGAAGTATTTTTAATGAAAAAAAAATTGTATTCATTAGATACAGCGGGTAAAATAAGTATTGAACACGTCACCATTTTTCTCAGTAAATATATTACTAGAGGTGCTAATGACATGAAATTTTCACCAGATGTTGGTAACAACCCAAGTGATCCATACATACAAAGAAATCAAACCATAAATGTCCAGAAATGAAGTTATTTGTAATAATGTGGAATGGCACAGGGAAAAAGTATTGAACACATGAAGAAAGGGAGGTGTAAAAAGGCATGGAAAGCCAAGACACCAGCTGAACTCTCTCAGTAATTAGAAAGCAAGCCTGCCCCTTGTCAGTGCTAATTAATATCAGCTGGTTCAGTCCCAAATGAGGACCAGGTATCACACAAGAACCATCTGATGATGGGTAAAAGTAAAGAGCTCTCTCAAGACCTTCACAACCTTATTGTTGCAAAGCATAATGATGGCATCGGTTACAGAAGAATGTCTAAACTTCTGAAGGTTCCAGTGAGCACTGTTGGGGCCATAATTCAGAAGTGGAAAGAACATCATTTCACCATAAACCGACCACGRCCAGGTGCTCCTCACAAGATTTCTGACAGAGGAGTGAAAAGAATTATCAGAAGAGTTGTCCAAGAGCCAAGGACCACTTGTGGAGAGCTTCAGAAAGACCTGGAATTAGCAGGTACGATTGTTTCAAAGAAAACAATAAGTAATGCACTGAACCACCATGGCCTGTATGCATGCTCACCACGCAAGACTCCACTGCTGAAGAAACAGCATGTTGAAGCTCCTTTAAAGTTTGCTGCACAACWTTTAGACAAGCCTGTGTAATACTGGGAGAATATAGTCTGGTCAGATGAGACCAACATTGAACTGTTTGGATGCCAGAATACACATCATGTTTGGAGGTCAAATGGCACTGCACATCAGCCCAAAAACACCATACCAACAGTGAAGTTTGGAGGTGGGAACATCATGGTGTGGGGCTGTTTTTCAGCATATGGTACTGGCAAACTTCAAATAATTGAAGGAAGGATGAGTGGAAAAATGTACAGAGACATTCTTGATAAAAATCTGCTTCCATCTACCAGGATGATGAAGATGAAACGTGGCTGGACATTTCARCAAGACAATGAGCCCAAACACAAAGCCAAGGAAACTCTCAGTTGGTTTCAAAGAAAGACACTAAAGCTGCTGGAACGGCCCAGCCAATCACCTGACCTGAATCCAACAGAAAATCTATGGAAAGAACTAAAGATCAGAGTTCATAGAAGAGGTCCACGAAACCTTCAAGATTTGAAGACTGTTTGTGTGGAAGAATGGGCCAAAATCACACCTGAGCAATGCATGCCACTAGTTTCTCCATACAGGAGGCGTCTTGAAGCTGTCATTGACAACAAAGGCTTTTGTACAAAGTATTAGATAAATTTCAGTAAGTGTGTTCAATACTTTTYCCCTGTGCCRTTCCACATTATTACAAATAACTTCATTTCTGGACTTTATGGTTTGATTTCTTTGTATGTATGGATCACTTGGGTTGTTATCGACATCTGGTGAAAATTTCATGTCATTRGCACCTCTAGTAATATATTTACTGAGAAAAATGGTGACGTGTTCAATACTTATTTTACCAGCTGTATTTTTGCAATCTCCAAAGCGCTGTTCAGACCTGCTACTAACACCCACCTTGGGTACATTTGACTGCAAAGTAAACAAGTCTGATTCAGATTATTCACACCTGGCAGTAAAATTTGTGAACACATTATTTATTTATTTTTTTGCAAATAGATGTTAATTATCTGCTTTGTATGCAAATACCCCAATTTATTTATCAGACAAAAAAATGAAAAAAACTGCAGCTTATGATGACAATAAAGCTTTACCTTAAAACTATAATCTTGAGAAATCAAATAATCAGACCATATCTAAGAAAATATCCATAAAACGCTTTATCTTCAACATTAGCTATTTAAAGTATAGTCTAGTTAATTATATTGGATGTAATAAATACTATATTTTAGTGTGTATATTAGTGTTTCTGCTTTTTAACATAACAAACTGCAAGGGAATCTTTAAATACTGGTCTTAATTTGTGTTAATGTGCTAACACTGTAAAATGAAACTTTAGTACAACTGAGGACAAGCATTCTCTCATCTAGCTTTAGTCAAGTACCCATAGGCTCTGTTCTTTATCGGCCTTTTACAGAGATATATGACATCCACGGAGAAACAGCAGCGTTGCCATGTCTCATAAAAGGAGGATTAGTCACTTTGTTAGTGCACATCCACATTAACTAAACCATTTGTGCCTTGCATTAAACGTCACTGGGAGAGTTTCGTACTTATTTACCTGCCAACACAGGCATCACTTTGATCCATCTGCTTAAGCCTTGGCAGAACATCTATTGCACAAAAACACATTTGTGTAATGTATACCTTTTTTTTTCCTTCTTCTTCCTCTGGTAACTTATTGCATGCAAATGACTTTGTCACATCAACACCAATCTCTGTAAAAAGTTTCACCCACTCACGTCAGCCTGGATGGAATAAAATGCAGAGCTCCTTCTCACACAGTCTGCAAGAAATCTTTTCATTTGTTTTGCATGTTATACATATAGGACAGTGAGAATATGCACAAGTCTGTWAAACTACTGTGTCCCAGTTTCTGTCGGCCGCTATTTTAAAAGGTTATTGATATCTGTATTACCATACAGGTGCACCAAAACCTGCAGACAATGGGAATTATTTTTAACCAGAGAAAGATTCAGTCTCATGGTAATCTTGATTCTCATAACAACACATATTTGGAGTGATCTAACACAAAGCCTCTAACAGCCACGGATCACTGACCTTGCCGACGTAGAGCGGTTCGTTTCCCGTGTACTCCTCCAGAACGAAGAACTGGTTCCATACCCAGCTGCGTTTGTGCCTCTCCAGGACGTCCCAGGGGTCCGGATCAGAGAGTGGGGACTTCTCCAGATCCCCAGAGCCRGGCTTCAGCCCCCAGCAGCAGCAGCAGCTTCTCTCCCTCAAGACAAACAGGAGCACCAGAGGAGCCAGGGCTCTGCATATGCCTGAGCAGCACCAACCCATCGTTTGGGCTCCCCTCCAAAAACGCACTGAAGCAAGAAGAGGAGCAAAACTCTAAGAAAAAAAAATGAAATGTCAAAACCCTTGGGGTTTTTATCCACACAGTCTGGACTCTCTGTTTCACCGGAAAGCAACAACAGTCAGACTCTGAAAGGARCACATGGACTGAAGATGAGTCAAGCTCTGCATTCTGCTGGGTTGTTTTTTTCCCTCTTTTAAAAAATGGGGTAATTCCTGCCACTTTGGAGCCAGGGAGATGACAATAAACCCAGCCAAGAGGGTCACTGACGACCAGGGAGGCTTCGACACAGACTCTTTGTAATTGGCACCTATCAGAAGAGAAGAAAGAGGGAGGAAAAACAGGAGAGACAAAGACGTAGAGGAGAAAAGAGAGAAAGGAGTGTCAGCAGAATTGCCTCTATGACCGCAGTCACTTTAGATAGCAAGTAATGTGCCTGCTGATGCAATGATAATGGCATTTTTTTTCACAGATTCAAAGGAAAGTGGTGAGGGGAAAAAATGAATACAATCAAAATACACACTCTCACCTACACACAACGCGAGGAAAATTGACTTGGGTCAAAATGCTAATAAGGGTAAGATGGAGGGAAAAATGACAAGGCTCTGTAAAGAAATTTCACACTAAGTCGAAACAATGGTGGCGGTGTGGAATAACAATCAGATGCCGATATGCTCGCTCACAATTGTCTGGGCTTTACCTCACCAAGGTCATTATTTTGTCACATTTACCCCTCGTGTGAGACGGTGACAGCGGAAGGGCTCGACTCGTAACGAGCCACATGATCTGCGCGGTTAGGTTAGCTGGGATTAAAAATAAATCGGAGCCATCAGCGGCACGACGGCCCGGGCGCTCCTGACCTCTGCTCCGAGTTGTTGCCCGACTGGGCCGAGATCACACAAAGATGCTGGGTTAGGGTGGGGTGGGGGATTAGTCTCTGTGCTGTGATGGAGCCCCCCCCCCCACACACACCCCCAAAAAAATGTAATAACATGACGACCCGTCAGAGCAGAGGAAAGTATCCTGACAGAGCTGCTGAGCAATTAGGTAAACTTCCCATTTTACTGCTATTATCTGTGTGATTTGAGGCGCAACGACTGATTCTCGATAAATATTCCAAAATAAGTTGCACGGGAGAAGACCAGCTGGGAAACGTAAGACGTTCCCCCAGCAGACCTTTCGAGCATTTTGGCCACAAGTGCAGTTTAGTTCCTCTCTGACCTCCCTTTGTCTCTCCTCTATGCAGAGCACTGGCAGAGCCCTGGGTGAGAAAGGTAATTGCTTTGGCATACAGTGACCTCTTTCTTCCCACACAGATCCTCCACTTCTCGTTTTACTTCCTCTTCGGTCGTACCCCTCCGGCAAAAAGCAAAACAGCACACACATCCYGAGGAAGTGATTTGTTGTCGTTCACCACGGGAGAGTCATTAGCCGACGCTAATAATTAAAACAAGGAATAAATCACAGCAGACTGTCACCTCTGCAGACACCTAGAGTGCAATCATAAGAGAATTTATTTGAAAATCACATTTTTTTGTCCTGCTTTGCATTTTGACTAAAAATGCAAAAAGTTTATTTTTTTTGACCAACCTGTTCCTGTATCCAAAAAAAAGGGGAAACATCTGCACTCATAATAGCGCAAAATTTCAAGAATTTAACGGTAAGGTGGGAAATGGAGCAGAATTGGCTGCAGGGCTGGTGAAGGCAGGTTGCAGATCTGGTGTTGTGGAGATTGCACGCAGAGTCGACAACTTCATGCATGTCGTTTGCCTCGAAAGTGAGGAGATGGGGAAAACAGATTGAAGACATCAGTAATGTAGTTGTGGGTACAAGAGTGGGCTCAGTAAAGCAGATATTGGCTTTTTATTTAATGAGTTTCTTCTGATTTACCATCCATTTGATTTTAATTTATTAGGCATGCCATGCACTGAAGAAATCAATGCTGTTTTTTTTCTCTTCTATTTTTTTCCCCCAGTGCAGTTGTTTATCATTTGAAAAATTAAAGAGTCAGATCTAAACGAAATGTTCGACTGGCAAACGCCGACATGGGTGTGATGAGAGCGTTTCATGAAGGCTTTCCATTTCTACTTATTCTTGCTGTGTGTTGTGCTGGCAAAGTGAAAGTCAAACACAATAAAGTGACAAGAAAATAGATCAAATTTTGATAACAGCCACAGAAAAGCATCGTATCTGATGTGATTATCAAATGATRTAAGCGACTTCCTTGTTGCGTACGAGACAGAAATGTTCTGGTAGAAAAAAGGGCATGAAATTTTTACGTCTGATGAGTGTCTGAAAGCTGTGAAAACATTAGGAGAGCCTTTAATAAAAGCTTATGAAGTGTTTTTACTTTAACTTACATAAAAAAGCTGTTTTTAAAAGCTTTAAAATAGACATCACGTTTTTAAATCTTTCTTTTTCACATTTAAATCAGTCATGTAGGGTCTATATAAAGTGGAACTGCAATGATTTTGTCTGAATTCCTCCTTACTGTAACTTCACAAGCCCCTTGTTCACCCCTTTTCTGAGGTGTGTCTCAGATTAATTYGTTTTGATGCTGTCTCTTTAAATTCAAATGAGGTGCTTCATATCAACCCCCTCCAGCTTGTAGACTGGTTCACTCTAGGTTTTTTTTATTTATTTTATTTATTTTTTATGACTATATAGCAGCACAGAAAGTTTTTGTTTACAAATGAATTAAAAGATGTGAACAAGGGAAGGCTTGTCCATCCAGCCTTACACGTTGGAGCCAGAGGAAAATGAATATGATGAAATTGTACTTCGTAAGTCCAGGTCTTATTTGCCAGTTCAATCACAAATACTGTGATGTAATATTTCAGAAAACATCAAAATATAGTAAACAGTTTCAAAAATATGACCCAAACAGAATATAAAGATATCTACCAGGAAAGATTACATTCAGATTTTCTTCTTGAGACACTAAGCACACAACAAAATGTATTCAACGGCTTGAAAAGTGGATTTTGCATGATATGTCCCCTTTAAAGGCAGATTCTAACTCCTCAAAAGACGATGGGTTATTCAGCTTGGATAAAAGCCTTTGCGATGTTTCACCAAACTTGTTTAACACTTCTACATTTCCAGAAATCTTTTTTAATTAAAATGTAAAAATATTTGGTTTATATCACAAACTATCACCATTGTGTAGTCTCAGATTGGCAGAGCCAGCCTTTGAAATCACTCAGAGTTGTAGTCAGACCGCCTGTGGAGGCTCATTGCTGGCCCGTGTCAAAGTGAGGCTGCTAAATTAAGTGAAAATGTGAGATGAAGCTGAGAATGTAAAGCATCCCCGTCTTCCTCTGGCTCTGTGTTTCCTACACACACACACACACACACACACACACACACACACACACACACACACACACACACACACACACACACACACACACACACACACACACACACACACACACACACACACACACACTTCTCTAATCCCATTTGCCAACCTCACAACAGGATTACCAGCACCAAGGCATTCAGTTACCAAATCGGACGCTCTCTCCCATCCAAACGCTCATCCATCACCGAGAACGTGGACCATGAACACGCCACAGAGATGGACCCAGTCTTAACTTAATCATGGTTTGGGACGAAATGCAGAACGTTTAATCAGATAATACGCTCACATTGATTTTGGACAGTTTAATAAAGTAACTCRGTGTGTAGAGGATCAGAAACTTTTATATGTGACAGTTGGAGCTAGGGCTGCACAAATTTAGGGAAACAAACAWTCTTAAAATTATTAAACATCACAACTATGGTTACAAGAGCCCTTCTGATTGTGTTTGCAGTTAATTTCAGTCATAAATATCGAAAGTGAACACACTAGTATTGCAATACGTGTTCAAAACATTGTGCCAGGGGAGGAAGACTGCATGTACTGTTTTAGACAATTGTTTTCAACTTGTGCATTAAACCCAATTACAATCTGTCACTGATTAAGTTGAGACATGATTGTATGGCAAGCAGATACTCATACTTTKACTAAACTCTTGAGTTATGGCAAACCTTTTGTGTATTTGCATAATTTCAAGTGCCATTTTAAGAAATGTAATGAAAATGTCATTTAGGTCTATATTTTTTTCTCTTTTTTTACATTGAGATAAGTTTAAAATAACTAAAGTGAACCAATATGTTTGTTTCTTTGTTTGTAGAACAGTACTTCCTTAACCCAGGCCAAGGATGCTTATTCTGGAGTTATTAACTGTATTTGWATGACACATGACCTGTAAGACATGTTTACAGTTCAGATTGGAAGAATAAGACAGCCCAATATGTTTTTTTTTTGTTTTTATTTTATTTATTTTTTTTATTTTAAAGTGAAGTTACCAACTGACAAAACCCAAGTTGCTAAACATGAGCAGCTATACCCTCCCCACCATTTCTCTCTATGAGCCCTTATTAACTGTTCTAAGTAAATACATAAATACATCACATTTGTATTTAGTTTTTGGTTTACCCTTACCRAAACATGTCTTGGGCATACTTTCCACCATCCTGATATTGTGCAGCCCTAAGTGAAACATTGCTCTTCTGTCCATAAGGAGTAGTGAGGAGCTTATCCTCCAAAATATTAGCAACACACACAAATCAGACTCTTGGTGAAGCAGAAGTTCAAACTTGTGCTTTTTGGCTGAAGACTCCTCCTGCTTACTGATTCCAACTATCCCATCTTGCATAAATTGAAATTCATCTTCACGGGCAGATCTGACTGAAGAACTGCACTTCATGCACTGTGCAGCTTTTTACATACAGATGGATGGGCTCCTGATCATGAAATCTATTTGAGCAAAAATGCACTTTTTTAATAAATTGGGGGTGGCGGTGGGGTTTTAACTCTGTCACTTTTCTTTATGCCAAATTTATTTATTTATTTATTTATTTATTTATTTATTTATTTATTTATTTATTTATTTATTTTTAATCATTCTAATCCTTGCTAATCTGTGCTTCTAAACGTCCATTCATTATCAGTTCTGCACATTCACACTTATTTCCCACTATAAGGGCAGTTACAAATTAATTCAAAAATCGTATGAAAAACGAAACAGACAACAATGATTTTAAGGCAAACTGAAAGACAGGGGGAGAAAGTCTTTTTTTTTTTAAACCAATGGCTGAAAATTAAAGTTTTACTTGCCAAAAAATAAATAAAGCCAACATCCCACTTCAGGTCACTGAAGCTATAAATGCTCGCTTTGTGTCCTGAAACATTTATCTGCTTATCTTGTTGGAAAATAAACATCTCAGCCCCAAACAGCCCCCACCCCCACCCCCCTTTAAAAATAACTTTAGCCTCAAATTACGTTAGCCTCTTTGCAATGTAAATCAGCAGGTCCCTGGCCTGTCTCTGTGACCTGGTAGGTCTGACCCTCCCTTTACGSATCCATCATTGCGCATTAGCTGTCAACACCTGGCACCGCGGAGCAAGAAAAGTTCGCTCCTGTAACCGCACGGAGGAGGAAATCTTCCATGCAGACATTTTTTTTAAAAAAAGGAAACACAAACAGATTGAACCATTATCTACGATCGATCACACGTCTTTAAAAAAACTTTCGGGGAATAACAAAGCAGCTGGGGAGAGTCAAAAAAAAAAAGATGATGAAAACCCGCTGTGACAAATACTAAACCTCCACCGCAGGAAATCCCGTGTCCCTAGAATACTAATTACGCGACAAGAACATAATCAAACCAGACATTTTATTTTMAAGATTCAGCACGGAAATGGAACAACTTTTCAAACAACAACAGAGAGAAAGAAAAATCCTGTCGTGGTGAGAAAAGGCTCAGATGTACTCACACGGAGCAGGATGAAGTTCAGCACATGGATGAGCTCCGCTGGTAAAAGTTGCGCTCTTCCCCTCTGCGCTCTCCGTGGAGACAAACGGTCTGCTTGGAAATGAGGACTTTGGAGGCTGTCGTGGTGAAATTAGTCCTGATGGAGGAGAAGTGGTGATGGTGGAGATCAGCAGCCGGGTCGCGCGTAAACTGCCCTCCCTCAGCGGGGATGTGGCGGTTCTGACGCTCTCTCTCTCTCTCTCTCTCTCTCTCTCTCTCTCTC